GCCTGTAAATCCGGGCTCTCTCTGAATCCACTCCCGGTTCGTCATCGGCTCTGGGACCAGTGACCCCAAACCACACATGGTGCTTCTGAAGCGGCTTCCCGCGTGTGGCAGGGCAGGGACACATCGCTTCCCGCAGCCCGCGGGCTCCAGCCCCGCGCTGCCGCCATTTCGGGTCGGGCCGGGCCGGGCCGGGAGGGACGGGGCTGTGGGGCCGGAGCTGCCGCCGCCACCGCCGGCCCTGCCCGCGCCCACTCAGCACCGCCGCTGGGCCGGAGCTGTCCCGCTCCAGCCCTGGGGCCGAGGCACCTCTGCCTGCCCCGTGTTCCAGCTCCTGCCGCTGTAGGAGCTGCCTGCATTGTCCCGGCTGCAGGGATCGCTGCAGGGAACAGTTCACTGGGGAGTCCTGGCTTGAACGTGGCACAGGGAGCGGGATCGAGACGGCAAGACACGTAAAATGGGGACAGGAAGTAGAACAAGGGGACAGCGAGAGGGAAAGCAGCTCAAGGAACAGGGAGAGTAGGAGGAAGAAGCAGCAGGGCAGAGATGCAAAAAGAGCCAGAGGCAGCAAGAAAAATCAAGAAAGTAAGGGCTGGTGGCAGGCGAGAGAGACTGCTAAAAAAGGCCTGGACAGGAATGTAGAGTGAAAGGAGCACTTCAGTGTTTCCTGTTTACTATTTCAAAGAAAACAACGTTGTGTTACGACTATCTCTTCCGACTGAGCCAAAAGTATAAGAAAAACTGCAAAAAAACCCAAGGCATCCAGAGGCATCTGTGAATGTCTCTCTGGCAGGCTGATGGCAGTATGTTCCCCAAACACACTAGAGGCAGTTATCAACCAGTTATGCCTGGTATCCTTGGACAACAGTTTCTCTGCGCTCACACCCCCATGTCTGGCTGCTGACAGGACAAGTAGGAGCCGGTGCTGGGAAGAAGCCTCAGGACGACAGTGATTCTGGCTGGCGGGCCTGGGACAGAATTACCTTGGGAGCTGGTGTCTGGCAATGACTGTCTCTCTTCCCCAGAGACTGGCACTCTGTCACTTTCTCCCATCTGCAAGATCTCTTTCTGCAGAGACTCAGGGTCCATCTCTTTAGAAAGAACATGGGACAGTTTTAATTACAAGTAACTGTCCCTCATCAGGAACATGATACTTTGTCCTGGGCACCTTAGTAAAAGCCAGGGAAGAGCCGACTGTACCCGAAAACAGGAGGAAAACCACAGCCAAGTTTTTTGGGAGGCAAGTAAAAATGTAGACCCAAACCACCCAAGACAGAATTAACCAAATGAGTCATTTTAGGAAGTACTTCAAGTAAGGTGCCTGACCTCATGCTGGGTGTCCAGCTCCAACCCACCCCTGATCCTGAGGTCTGGAAAGAGCAGCCAAGATTTCCTGGACATCCTTTCCACCATGATGCTGGGCTGTGCATGAGTCCAACACAAATTTGGCACAGCCCTGTTCCCAACACCTGGTTATCAGCATCTGCACAGAGCAGCTCTGGCCAGTAATGGTACAAGTACAGAAGCAGTTGCCCCTGGCTCTCAGCTGGAAGCCCATGAGGGAGCAGATGTGCTGGACCATCTCTGTGGCTCAGCAGTCCATGCAATGTGTGAAATCGAGTGTCCTTGCAGTGAGGCTCTGACTGATTCCATACTGCTGCATAGGCTACAATAGATCCCCACAGTAAACTAAAAACTCAGCTTGCCAGGTCCTGTGGTTAACAGAGTGGGATATACTAACCAGATGCAGCTTTCTCCAAGGCTCTTAGGAGCTCCTCTGGTATCTTCTGAGAATCCTTCGCTATTTTAGATTTATAGAAGGACATTAATGTACAAAAATAGATGTCTTATGACTAGCGCACTAAAAAAGATTGCTTATTCTGTGAAATCAGTAGAGATTGACTACTCCACCACTAGTTGAGATACCAGCTTGGAATCAGTGTGAAATTCATCTGAGGAGCTGGAGGAGCCCTTCCTTTGGCCATATCTACAACCAAACACCCTCAAGAAGTTACCATCACACCTCAAGAACAAAGAATGACAGGTCTGTATTCTCACAGCTGCAGGGGTGCTGGGCTGTCCTTGGGACATTAAGCTGGCAGCTCTGAGAGGAAGCAAAAGCCAAGACGTGCGCAGGTGACCTGCCATGGGTCAGTGTTGGAGCCCAGCCATGAGACTGGATAAACACTGCCATGTGATGTATAAGTCAGTGCTGAGTTTCTGGCTCTGCAGTGCCACTCATCTCCCTGATCATCAGAACCCTCTCTCCTCACCACCCCTGAAGCAGCTGCAGCCCTCCCCACCTCCCTGCGCTGTGTCTGCCCCACTGCTGAACTGTGGTGCCTTCCTGGCTCACCCTGGCCCCACTGCTGCCAGCCCAGGGTGGGTGCTGGCCCCTGCCTGCCTACCTGGTGGTCCCTGTCTTTGCATTGGAATAGACTGGGCATCCTGGGCTTGTAAGGCCACCAAAAAGAAGAGGAGGCAGCGGGTGAGCACCACGACCTCCAGTGCTTGCAACATGCTGCGACTGCCGCTACTGCTGCTGCCTCAGAGATGCCCAGAGCTGGCACTGAACAGCAGATCAAAGTGGGGCCCTGTGGCTGCAAATCAAATGGGGTTCTGTGACATCACGTCCCCACCGGACTCTGCCCTCAGCCAGGGCTCCCCAAAAACACCCTTTGCCCATGAATTTCTGTATCTGCCCACTGTTGAATTTCCTCTTTCTGCATTGCTGGGGAAGGAGCAGAAGTGGGGAAGGGTGGATTTGTTTTCAGAGGCAGCCCAGCCCTATGCAAGGGAGTGCAGAGGCACTCCTGTCATGCTTCCAGAAATCCCTATGAAAAGCTACTATGAAGACTGCATAAAAGAGCCAAGTACAAGTGGCTTTCCTTGGTACTCTCTTTGTCTGCCATCAGTCCGGTTGGAAACCTGCTTTTCCCGCTAGTTTTGCTCCAGGTTCATGACGTTTGAAGACAGCACTTCTTCCCTCTGCAACCCTCCTCTAACATCGGCGAGTTGTGCCCAGGTTTACTCTAAGTGAGCCTGGCTTATTCCCTCTCCCAGTCTCATTTGAAGCTCTCTCAATGAGCCCTGCCAGAGGAGAGTCAGCGATGAACAGTAAGTAGCCTTCTTAACTGCCTGTAAATCCGGGCTCTCTCTGAATCCACTCCACGGCATTTTGCAACTCCCCGGTTCGTCATCGGCTCTGGGACCAGTGACCCCAAACCACACATGGTGCTTTTGAAGCGGCTTCCCGCGTGTGGCAGGGCAGGGACACATCGCTTCCCGCAGCCCGCGGGCTCCAGCCCCGCGCTGCCGCCATTTCAGGTCGGGCCGGGCCGGGCCGGGAGGGACGGGGCTGTGGGGCCGGAGCTGCCGCCGCCACCGCCGGCCCTGCCCGCGCCCACTCAGCACCGCCGCTGGGCCGGAGCTGTCCCGCTCCAGCCCTGGGGCCGAGGCACCTCTGCCTGCCCCGTGTTCCAGCTCCTGCCGCTGTAGGAGCTGCCTGCATTGTCCCGGCTGCAGGGATCGCTGCAGGGAACAGTTCACTGGGGAGTCCTGGCTTGAACGTGGCACAGGGAGCGGGATCGAGACGGCAAGACACGTAAAATGGGGACAGGAAGTAGAACAAGGGGACAGCGAGAGGGAAAGCGGCTCAAGGAACAGGGAGAGTTGAAGGAAGAAGCAGCAGGGCAGAAAGAGCAGGAGGGAGCAAGAGAAAAGGAAATGAGAGCTGGTGGCAGGACAGAGACTGCTGAAAATGGCTGGGACGGACATCAAGACAGAGGCAGTGAAAACGAACAGGTCTCGGACAGAGGATTATAGCGAGTAACCAAGAAGTTAGCAGGCGAGAGCCACACAAAGATTAGGATCAGGAGATGACCGGGGTGGATTTCACTGCACCCATTTGAATCCCGGGCTGTTTTCCTCGTGTAGTTGCATGTAGGTGTCTGAGCTCCCTCAGAAGGAGCTGAGGCATCTGTGACATGGCAGTAATTGTCTTCCATGGTTCTCTATTCACGAGCATCTGCAGGGTTGCAAGTGAGGATGGCTGTATGACAGGAACTCAAGGGAACTGTTTAAAAGGTTGAGCCAAAGCTCTACTTTAATATAAGATTTTGGCTGCTCTCTCAGGAGGTGGAAATCTCAAAGGCAGCAAAGGCTCCATGGAAGACAGCCCAGAGCCAGGAGCTGTTGTAGTTGGCTGTTGAGAGGTGAGGGACAAGGGTGAGCAGCTCAGTGGTTACTGTTTGCCACTTCAAAGCGAATAGCGCTGTGTTGAGAAAATCTTTTCTAAGCCAAAACTGTAAGAAAAAAACCCCATAAACAATGTTGAGGAATCTCTATGAACATCTCTCTGACATGCTACCAAGCATACTTTCCCACACATCCTAGAGGCAGCTATCAACCTCACGTATTACAGCCTGCTAAAAAATGGAAAGATTCACTCAGACTCCTGCTACCTCAAACCATAAATCGAACTAGAATGAGTAGCCTTAAACTGGCTTCCCCCTCATATAGGGGAAGCAGGGAATTTTCCAGAAGAATGGGCGTGAACATACCAAATATGGAAAGGCAAGGCGGGGCTTTGCCCATATTAGGCAACTAGGGGAGGGGTCATAGTCATATATGGGCAAAAGGGGGAGGGTCTTAACAATAACAGGAAGAATTTCAGCATAGCATTTTTTAACCAATGGGTGAACAGGAAAAAAGAAACTAAAAACTTACAGGGATTTCTGTAAGGATTATTGGGTACAATATAAGAACTTCATATTAAAAATACTAGAACTTAATTAACAAAGTATTTAGTTTTTGAATGTCCTCAGTATATTTAAACAATGTCTTCATTTTCAGTAGACTCTTTTAAGGATTTCACAAATCTTCGGTACTGCTCTTCCTCCTCATGTCCATCTCCCACACTCAGAGAGCTGTGCTTGGTTTCCTGGACAACAGCTTCTTTGCACTCACACCTCCACGTTTTCTGCTGACAGGACGAGCAAGAGCGGGTGCTGGGGAGAAGCCTCAGGACAACAATGATTCTGGCTGGTGAGCCTGGGACAGCAATTACCTGGTGTGCTGGTGTCTGGCACTGCCTGCCTTTCAGCTGAGACTGGCACTCTGACACTTTCTCCCATCTAGAAGGTCTCCTTCTACAGAGTCTCAGGGTCCATGTCTTTAGAAAGAAAGTGGGACAGTTTGATTAGAAGTAATTGTCCCTCATCAGAAACATGGTGCCATGCTTGAGCACCTTGGTATGCAGCAGTGAGGAGCTGACTGACCCCGAAAACAGGAGGAAAACCACAGCCAAGTTTTTGGGAGGCAACTAGAAATGTAGACCCAAACCACCCAAGACTAAATTAACCAAATTAACCCAAATGAACTAGGAAGCTCTTCAAGTGAGCTGTCTGAGCTCACACTGGGTGTCCAGCTACAACCCACCACTGACCCTGAAGTCTGCAGTCAGGATTTCCTGGGATATCATTTCTGCCTTGATGCTGGGTATCTGCAATTATTCTGACTATGGGGGAGCAATAATAGAACGTAAAGAGTCCGTTGTGTTATTTGGGGCTACCTCATCTTGTAAGGGAAGATTTTTAGGAGCTCCTCCTGTTACTTGAAAGATGGTACAACATTGTTCAGTTTGGGCATACTACTTTCAAACAGAAACTTGTTGGGCCACCCCATCAAGAGTCAGGGTTCCTGACAAAACCTTTTTGATGGCTTTAACAGGTCCTCTTAAAACTATTGATTGTTGATGGACAGTTCTTTCTGCTTCCCAGAGAGCAGGATTGACTACAAACCAACCCATTTCCCAAGTGGAATACCGTTTTTGTGCATCCTTAAAGCTTTGAGAGAAAAATCCAATGAGTTGTGTAGAAATACCATGTCCTTACTGCCATAAATGTATGGACAGTTCTGAACTGGCAAATCCCCACTCAAGTAGCATGGAATCAGAAGTGTGTATAGGACCTCATGAGTGATGTGTGTTAGCCTCAAGAATTAGGAGTTGTAGGGCCTCATCATGAAGGCAGTCCAATCCCACTCTGCTCCCTTCCACAGCAGATCACACAAGGGCCTTGCAACTATTGAAAAACCGGGAGCGTGCTTCCTCCAAAAGACCAACAGGCCCAAAGCCTCTCCACATCTTCTCCGCTCTCAGGCACCTTAATCAGTTCAAGGGAGGTGAGGGTGTCTGGGGATTACAGACCACTGCCCCCACTCCCCCGTATCCCAAAAAACTTTACCCCTTGCAAAGGGAGTTGTACTTTCTCAGGAGGGCTCTGTAATTCCAGGAGTTCTAGGTGTTCAATAATGTCCTTTTGGGTTATCTGTACAGGTGCAATTTCATCTCCTGCTAGCAAAATATCATCAATATACTGATATACTTTTACCTCAGGTGTAGGAGGATTGACAGTTCTTTTGCTAGTGGATGCATGCTGAAGTGGGTGAATGTTTAAACCCTTATGGGAGGCAGGTAAAAGTGTACTGCTGACTGCAAAACGCTCCTGATCTTGATCTTGCAGAGGAACCATAAAAAGCATGTCTTTAACATCAGTAGTGACCATAATTTTGTGAGTTTGTTCACAAAATTATGGTGGCTATTAGTTTGGCTCTATTCTGGACTGCTGTAGGGAGGGGTCCTGTGCTTGCATGAAGACCTCAGTAGCACTCAGGTAATCTCCAACTAGGAGATTAGTGTTATAGGGGGAGTGTTATAGGGGGAATGGGCTGTAATCACTAGTGGTTTAGATTCTCAGTAACTCGGGTGATTCCTTCTCTGGCTCCCAAGGGTAAGAGGTAAAGTTTGTCATTGGTTACTAGGGAGGGAGGAAGAGCAGGGGCAGCATCTAGCAGGTGCAAATGCTGGGTTTCCTTCCTGAAAGCCCCTATTTTTTTCTTCTTTGTCAGTCCATGACCTTCCCTTTAGGAGGTCTAGCCCCAAAAGATTTCTAGGAAATTTTCCCAAAACCATAAGGGTTTTTATCATTTTCTCCTCCCCTAGCAACCAGCATCTTATCCTTGTTGTCATTTGGGGTTGAGTGTATCCAAAAGTATCCACAACAAATACACCTTTACATGAGGGGATGATTCCTCACGAAGAGGCATCTTTAATCTTGAGAGCAGATATTTGACCTCCGGTGTCTATTAAAAAGGTTATGGGGACTTTGCAGGGATCACTAGGACAGGTCATTAATAAGTCTCCTTTGGAATTTTTGGTAAGCCATCTGATAGAAAGTCACTCTCCATCCCCTAGCTTACCTACTGGGGATGAACAAAAGTGTTTCCCACCACGTTCCCCTTTTGTGGTTCCTCTAGGGGAGGGGCTTTAGCAGAGACAACAGCTTTTATTGATCCCTCTTTTGCCTGCCATGCTTTAACTAGTACCTCCAGTTTATCACTGGGTTGGCTGTCCATCAGGGTTTTCGGAATTCCTTTTCATAAACGCAGAAGCCATTTTGTTTTCTCCTGTGTTCTTCACTTGTATTAACCTGTCCTCCTTGCCCAGGGCAGAATATTATTTTTCTGAGTTTTATAGGGAGTATTGGTGTTTTACATTCTGTGTGCCAAATTAATTTGTGATCAGTATTGCTAGGGAGTACTTGACCATATTTTCTTTCATAATTAATTATTGTGCCACCTCTCCCCAGGTCCAAATTTTATGTTCCTATGGCTACATATGGGAGTTACAGCCCTCTCCAAGGTGGCTCTTTCCCCAGTTCTGAAGGTTGCTATTTGTCCTTGTAATTGAATGCCCATGTGTTTCAAGTTGCTTTTGCAGTTTAAACAAAGGCAAAGCTTTTTGCATTATAGCAGTTCAAGAAGCAATGGCGAAACATACATTGCCTTTCTCCAGTTCTTTACAGGCCCCAGCTGGAAAACCAGGTTGATGCTGGGACAAAGGTGTTCTGCTCTGGAGTGCATGTCCATCCCAGCTCCTCTCACAGATCCAGCCCTGCTTCCACCTCTGTGCATTCAGTTCCAAGTCACAGACAAAACAGGTGAGAACTCACTGCCTTTTAACAAGATATTTATTTATATATTATTCATTAAACAGAACACCATCTTCTGAAGTAAAGTACCCCTGCTGGTACTGGTAGCAGGGACACCAGGATGGTGTGGGCTGGAGTGAGTCCAGGGAAATCCAGTTCTCCTGTGAAGAGGCCCCATCAGCCAGAGAGCAGCTGGGACAAGCAGGCAGAGGTGCAGGGTCTGTGCCCATGTTCCTGTATAGCTGGGCGAGCTCTGCTGCAAAGATCCCTGGTGACAGGCGGCAGCTGTTGCTGAGCTTTGTGTTTGTTTGGGCTCTCTTGCCCCTTCCTACTCCTTCTGACTCTGCTTCATCTTTATCTCTAGATGGACATTAAGAAAGAGATTGAGGTAAGGAAAGAGACTGTTTGCAGAAGGAATCAGTATGGGCTTGTCCTTGTGCTGCTCCATCTCCCTGGGTCCTTCTGTACAAACAGATTTCAGAGGAGTCTACCCATGGATATGAACTGAGAACCCAGTTAAAGGACCATACTACAGAGGTTTCAGCAGAGTGCTCCCAGAAGCTCCCTTGGCACTCCAGCACTGTGCAAACACTGCCAATGGTAGCAATAAATAACTCTTGGGAAGAGCCAACTCACGTGTCTCTCCTTCTCAGCTGTGACATGACTATACAACAGACCGCTATCCCAAGCAGGAGCACACTCAAGGCTGCTGCAGCTCCTAGGATATAGTTCTTGCCTGGCTCCTGATAACCAGCAGTGTCAACTTTTTCCAGAGTAGCTGACCCTGACAGGAGAAAGGACAAAGCAAGAGACAATGTTTGTGCTCTGCACTATGGATAATCTCAGATGCAGGGCACTTCAGATGCCCAAGGGATTTTGTTTTTGGAGACTAGTGCTTCTGGCTCTCGTGTCTTAGGACTGGGGACAAGAAGGATCCCTTCAGGTTCTCCTGGAGAAGAGCCCGTCTTCCAGCGAGCAGCTGCCCCAGCGCTGCCCCAGTCATTTCCTTCAGGCTGCAGACCAGGGTTGTGTGCTGGCGAGCTGCAGTTCATTCATGGAGAGCACTGCAGGGATACAGCAGAAATACTCTTTTCTGAAGCAGGCATCTTCTGAACACTCACTTAAAGGACGTCTCTGAAGCTGAGCAGATGTCCTGGTCCCCTGTATTGTCTCTCCATCTTCACCTGAGATTGACACTCTGTCACTTTCTCCCATCTGGAAGGTCTCCTTCTGCACAGTCTCAGGTTTCATCTCTTTAGAAAGAACATGGGACAGTTTAATTACAAGTAACTGTCCCTCATCAGTGACACAATAGCATGTCCTGGGCATCTTAGCAAGTGGGAGTGAGGAGCCCACTGTACCCGAAAACAGGAGGAAAACCACAGCCAAGTTTTCTGTGATGCAACAAGAACTGCAGAATCAAACAACCCAAGATTGAATTAATGAACCATTCTAGGAGACCTTTCAAGTTAGGTGTTTGTCCTAATGCTGGGTGTTCAGCTCCAACCCACCACTGAGCTGTGGAAGGGGCAAGATTTCCTAGGACATCCTTTCCGCCATGATGCTAGGCTGTGCGTGAGTCCAACACAAATTTGGCACAGCCCTGTTCCCAACACCTGGTTATCAGCATCTGCACAGAGCAGTTCTGGCCAGTAATGGTACAAGTACAGCAGGAGTTGCCCCTGGCTCTCAGCTGGAAGCCCATAAGGGAGCAGGAGCTGTGCTGGACCATCTCTGTGGCTCAGCAGCCCAAGCAATGCATGAAACCAAGTGTCCTTGCAGTGAGGCTCTGACTGATCCCTTCCTGCTGCATAGGCTACAACAGATCCTCAGAGTAAGCAAAAAGTTCAGCTTGTCAAGTCCTGTGGTTAAGAGAGTGAGATACACTAACCAGATGCAGCTTTCTCCAAGGCACTTAGGAGCTCCTTTGGAATGACAGGTATCTTCTTGGAATCCTTCACTATTTTAGATTTATAGAAGGACATTAACATATGAAGGTACATTTTTCATGAACACACTAAAATTGAGTGCTTATTCTGTCAAACCAGTAGAGATTGACTACTCACCTTTGAGATACCAGCTTGGAATCAACATGGAATCTGGCTCAGGAGCTGGAAGACCACTTCCTTTGGCCACATCTACAACGAAACACCCTCAAGAAGTTACCATCACACCTCAAGAGCAGAAGGTATAAGGGTGTTAGGGAACAACAGGGCATACAGGTCTGTATTCTCACAGTTGCAGGGGTACCTGGCTGCCCTTGGGACATTAAGCTGGCAGCTCTGAGAGGAAGCAAAAGCCAACATGTGCACAGGTGACCTGCCATGGGTCAGTGTTTGAGCCCGGCCATGAGGCTGGATAACCATTGCCGTGTGATGGTTCAGTGCTGAGTTTCTGGCCCTGCAGTGCCACTCCTCACCTCCCTGATCATCAGGACCCTCTCTCCTCACCACCCCTGAAGCAGCTGCAGCCCTCCCCATCTCCCTGCACTGTATCTGCCCCACTGCTGAACTGTGGTGCCTTCCTGGCTCACCCTGGCCCCACTGCTGCCAGCCCAGGGTGGGTGCTGGCCCCTGCCTGCCTACCTGGTCTCTGCCATTGCATTGGAGCAGACTGGGCATCCTGGGCTTGCAGGGCCACCAGAAAGAAGAGGAGGCAGCGGGTGAGCACCACGACTCCCAGTGCTTGCAACATGCTAGGGCTGCCGCCACTGCTGCTGCCTCAGAGATGCCCAGAGCTGGCACTGAACAGCAGATCAAAGAGGGGCTCTGTGACCTCACGACCTCATCAGGCCCTGCCCTCTGCCAGGGCTTCCAACTGTACTGCCATTGCCCATGAATTTCTGTATCTGCCTTTTGATGAATTTCCTCTTTCTGCATTGCTGGGGAAGGAGCAGAAGTGGGGAAGGGTGGATCTGTTTTGGGAAGCAGCACTGTGTGCATGGGTGTATAGAACCACTTGGGTCTTGCTTCCACAAATGTGTGCAGGGCCTCCAAGGCACAGAAAGCTTTCGGAAGGCCTTCTACAGCACCTTTGGTAAAAATGCCCAGGAAGCACCTATTAAACTCCAAGTATTTATAATCTCAAGCACATAGGCAGTGATAACTTTCCTCTGGGATGTCCCCAAGGCTCATATCCAGTATCCAGTTGAGAAGCTCAATGAACATAGCCAATGCCATCCTCTTGAATCAAGCACAGATCAGAGATGTCACTTCATACTCAGAGAAAGGAGGAGACTAGAGGAAAAACTGGTTGTCCACTATCACACACTGCGGGGTGTGGGGTAAAAAGACTCACAGAGGATTTGGACGATGTCGAGGTTGCAATGGCGAATCTCCTTTTTTAAGGGGGAGCTCCCCTTCTTATAGGGGAGACAGGGAAGGTTCCGGAAAAGGGGAAGAGCACTGGATTGACAACTGGGATAAGCGAATGGGGATAACAGGAGGAAACCTTACATAACTGGGAACCAATCAGGAGCTGTACTGCATGCAGCAGACTCCAGCCAATCAGCGGTTGAGGAGAACAGTGAGGGGAGAACATGTCCAAGCATGCCGTAACACACTGAAATAAATGGAACTGGGGTACATTATTTATAACAACATGCATTAACATAGTAAAAAGAAGGAAGGTAGGGAATCAATCCTAATAGCAAGAGTAAAGTCCATTGTTTTAGAATCTCTGTAAGTTTGTTTTGGATAGGTAAACTTTTTTCCATTTATCAAACTCCTCCTTATTCAGATCACTACTCTCCACACTGCATAGATACTTGACGATTGTTAAGGCTTTCTTGTGCAAATTGCCGAATTAAATTTTTCCACTCTTACTTGAAGAGCATATACTGCATGGCATTAAGGATTGCTTTAGTAACTACTCTGATGTCATTTGGTGTAAGCTTCTATGCCGCAAAAAGAGAATTGAGTAACCCAGTAACAAATGAAGAATTTAGTCTATATTCAGTTACAGCCTTTATCATGTCTTTTAGAATTGGATATGAAACAGGTTGCCAATTAGGAGCTCTATTTTCGTCATGGAACACTGGCAAAATTCACATTAGTTCTAGGTTTCCTGCATCCTTGGCTTGTTTCCTCAGTCCCATCCACTTATCATCACTACCTATGGACCAATCATCCCCTTCAGGTAAGGCTACTTCCCCCTCCCCTGAGTTTACATGAATTGCCGGTAGTTTGGCCTGGGGGCTGCCATGACACCGGATGTTGATGTCCAGTAAGCCTGAAGTGCCACGGTTTGGGTACCTCCCCCCAGGCCGATTGTTGGGTTCCTGGAAGGAGGTAGTTTTTTGGGCGCTGCCATCTTGAGAAGGGGTGTTGACATTAGTTGCTATGGGTAACCAATTGATGGATGGATCTATATGCTTGACATCTGCATGCAGAGGAGGGGTTAGTTGTTTTGTGTGCTTTTCTGAAGGGGAAGGGAAAGGGAACTGCTGCCATTTTTGGAGGTTTTTTTCCCACCTACGACGATTTTTGCACGCTTAGAGGAAGAAGGAGTTTGGGTGTCATTTTGAGAACGCTGTTTAAGTACGGACAGCACGAGCCGCCATGCGACGAGGGCAGTTCCAGCGCTTCTATCCCCGCATTTGAACGAGTGGGCTAAGTCGTTATAAAGTTCAAACCACTGTTCGTAGTTAAAAAAATTCGAGGATAAGGTCTCTGTGTCTTTTCATCCACTTTGCAAGTGCTTGAACTGATTTTTTATCTAAAGGGTGAGCTTCGGCGGTGACAATGGCTTTAACGTGATTGTACAGTTCCTTCTCATTTTTTGAGAGGTGGGTTCCCATTAGTGCTGGATGACAGCTACTGAATTTAAAGAAAGGGAAATAGGTTCGTCTCGCTTGCTCACCTTTGGGATAGTTATGGAGTCAGCATCGGAGATGTCCTCCAAAGGGTGAAGTAGACGATGTCTACTGGCAGCTGAAGTGAGGGAATCTCCAGGGCGACTTAGACTCCGTTTGTCCAAGTTCAACAGAATTCCTAGTGAGTGCAGAGAGTTCTCTTAATGTAAGGGACCTCAACACCACCCCCCACATTGGGGGCCATGTGACAGGGGGAGAGCTGTTACCCCCTTTAAGCAAGACCCAGAAAGGACCACTCTGTACAAGACTGTCAGAGTATGACACAAAATGACCGTTTATTAAACAGGGCGTTTATTAAACCGACTTATAAGGGGAGAGCTGGGAACGTATTAGAACAAGGGGCGGAGACTGGGAGGAATATGCAAAGAGATGACTAAATTAGGATTTGTAGGGAGGAATTCCACCCAGTATGGGTAAGGGAATTACTCTATAGGCAAACTACTACAATGCAGCAAGGGATATCAAGAAAAGGGTTACAATCGGCCAATGAGAGGGAAGATAACAGGGGTGGCACGGTTTTGAGTGTCAGGAAGGGAGCCGACCAGCTCGGGGTTCACTGTCTGCTGTAGTTAGTGAAAGAAGCAGAGGGTTGCAGGCAAGCACCACCCCGCACGCGTCTGTGCAACCCGAATAAGGAGAAGCAAGACACAGGTGTGAGGCAGGCATCAGCCAGGGCTGATCTGAGTTTATTGAGGGAAAATAGAGGGGTTTTAGGGGTCTGGGTTGGAAGGGTCTAGAA